CGGATTTGACTTCGACGATACCGTCGAAGAATACTTGGACCGGATCTTGCCGACGCTAGTAGATTCCATTGACGAACACTTCTCCGTCTACACGTGGATTATCAAAGGTCGATTTACCGTACCCCCTCCGCCTCCGAGATCCTTTCCCACGGCGACGTTCCTTGGTACCTCCATCTTAGTGGCAACCTCGATGCTAGTCTGGACAATCTTCCGTCGCTCAACTTAGTCTCCATAGGAAAGAGAGAGTTAAAGGTCTCAAGGTGTGAACAACTTTGTATTAATTGTGGGATTTTTATTTACTAGCCTTTGCTTTATGTTTTCCTTTGCGTTTGCTTAAATGGTTTAGCTCTCTTGTTGTAGTTTCTTTGCCTAGCAAGTTGAACATCGCGAATTACTTGTAATCAACTTAACTTTGATGCATGATTATATAATTCGTTGAGCTAGAATTTAATTCTCTTTTTTATCTCTTGTGTAACTCCACCCATGCATCACATCATAATGCCTCAAATGGTAAATGGATACAATATGGAATTCAGTTGTAGTTAAATTCGTATATAATCATACTTTAATTGAAACTCACCAGAATGAATAAATTATACTGCATGTATAGTTTAGATCAAATTGAAAGACTGGTACATCAGCTCTACCTCATCATTTTGGTTACCTCGGAAAGTAAAACCATGAAAATAGCGCATCCTTTGACCCAAGTTGTTTGTCCCTATATAAATTGATTTATGCTGTCATCATGATTTCTTGTGCATGTAAATGAAGGACAATAATAATGTTAACATAAAATTATGGAAACAAATGCGGACATTGAAGAGATGATTAAAGTCGCTGTCTTATGTGTGTCTCAGATTTGAAGGATTTTCACCTAGTTGTGCAGTTTACTTCGAACCTATCCACAGTTACTTCAAATTTTTTTTGCTCGATTCTGCTACCAAACTTGTATTTAAAAACTTGATAATGGTTTCAAAATCACACATTTATTACCTGCATTTGTAGGTACTTTGGGCATTTTCGATCTACTTGGAAGCAGTGGCAATTCTTCCACAACTAGTTTTGCTCCAAAGAAGCAGAAACGTGGACAATTTAACAGGCCAATATGTTTTCTTTCTCGGGTAACCACTTTGCACATACCAACTGGAAGTACCGTTTTATTTCTTGAATAATCACAAATACACTGATTTCAATAGTCAGTGATTGAACTGACAACCTGATTAATCTTATGACTACAACTTGTATTTTTGATCCTTTCTAGTTGGCATTGTAATTTGTTAATGGTTCTAGTTTAGTGTGCATGGGATCTTTGTAAATTAGATACTTAAGATGCTTACTTTGATCATAGTTTCTCACTAAAATCACATTTAATGTCTAGTTAATGTAATTTTTTTAATCTAGCTAATGTATTTTTTTTCCATACTTTTCTTGACATGGCAGTGCTGGGCGGTCATTCTTTAAACTTGAAAGCATCTCTATTGAAAAACTGGTTATATATTTCTTTTCCATCTTTCCGGTAGTTATTTTAACAAAATGGTGTTTTCTTAATTTTGAGTTCTACGTAGACATAATGGGAGTAAGTGTGGCTTCTTGCATGTGTATGGTTTGCATATGCAGATGTAGGGAGTGTGTTAATGCTCGAAATATTGAAGAGTGCTGCAAAAAAAAGCAAGTTGCTTTGGTATATGTTCTTTGTAAATGACATAATTTTGATAGATGTGGTGTTTTATAAAATAAAAAGTTTGGGTTTAAGTATGTAAACAGTGTGAAGTGCAAATAATTCAGAAAAAATTTAGTAGGTAATTGAGATTAGTATGACGAAGATTGAATACATGATATGTATTTTTCCTGGATTTGAAATTGAAATATCATTTAACATTATTAAAAGATTTAGGGGCTCTTTGGTTTGCTAAAAAATGAATATAGTGGACTTGTTTAGATGAGTGTAAAGTAAATTCAGGTGAATGTTTTTCTTTTGGTTTTGTTTGAAGTAAAATGAATTTAGTGTAAAGTCCAAAGATAGCGACGACACGTGACATCGACTGGTGGCAATGGTGGTCGGCGACGGTGGCGGTGGGTGGCGACGTTGGTGGTCGGTGGGTGGTGGCAGCAATCATGCGAGTTTGCTTGCGGTGTAAATGTTTCTCACTCAAATTTGGGTGAGTTTAGTTTACCTAAAAAGTGAACTATGGTTTATATTTCATTTACTTAATTTTATCTTGCATTCCTTTTTCATCATACCAAATATCAATATTTTTAAAACCCCTGCATTTTTAATACTTTATGCCTACTTTACTTCCAACTAAATTGCCTCTTAGTGATTTTGAAATGTGGTAGGTTGAAGTACCTTAATCTTTCTTAAAAAAAGTTGAAGATATAGCTCAATGAACATATTTTAAATTGGGTTGTTTAAATGATGATTCTTGAGAATATTATGTGGTAAAAGGGCTATTAGTTAATAAAGTTTATATTAAATCAATTATATTATATGATCCAAGTATTGTAAAGATGAAAGAGATTGAATGACATAAATGAAAAAAATTAAAAATTGATTAATTCTATAATAGGATGTTGTGTGCTTGTTGTGTCTATTTTGTGGGTCTTCTTGTGGCTTTTAGTGCATGGCCCCTTCTCCCATTGGCTTGCATGTGGTTCCTTTTGTTGACCTCAGTACTAGTGTCGGGGTCGAGTTTATCGTGCACGATAAGTTTCAAAAACGAAAGAGCATGACGTCACTCGAAACTTGCCTGACGCTTGTCAACCGAAAACCCAAATCCCCGAAATGGTCTTTTTTTGTAAAACAGATAGCGCCAGCGCGTCAGGAGTAATGAAAATAGCTAAGATCGACACCCATATTGATTGGAATCGTTGATATGCAAATATTTAAATTTCACGCCCAGATTGAGTCGGCATCGACATGTGCAAATGACGACGAAGATCTGGCTGTGATGTCAAAGCACGATTAATTTTAAAAAAGTTGATATCATATAATTATACCTAATTTAAATAAATCTCTAAAATATCCTCACTCACACTCATTCCCTCATAACACTCCACCACTCACTTCCTCACGGTTCACACACGACCATCCTCACGAACGAAACACAAGAAAGCCCCTTTATTCCTCTCGGCTCTCTCTCCCTCACACGACCAAGCTTGCTGCATGCCTCTTCTTGTTGCTCTAACCGCCACCCTAGATTTTGTGTGTTGCATTGTCTCATTGTCTTGCCGTGGCCACTGCTTGCACCAGACACCCAAGGCGGGGAAATGCTATGCTTTATAAACAAGTACTTCAAGATTTGAGACCAATTTTATTAGCGATCGGTGAATTAAAATTTCGTTGTGGTGTCACCTGACACCTATGATGACTATTTTTATTAGAAAAGTGAAGGTTTAACACACCTAATGCGGCCTTCTACGCGGGGACGATGTCGGGGTGTTGCCAAAATTTATAACAAAATGTATAACTTGGACAAAATTTAGAAAAATTGGAATCTAACTCAATTCCTAAGTCAACAAAATTAAGTGCATGTGATGGGGACATCAGAGCATGAATCGTATATCAGAGGCGTGGCCGTCGATCCATGGCCACGATCGCGTCAACGTATTTTGAGTTATTTAGTGTATTTGTTTTATTATGTTATTTGTTATTTATGTTGTATTTGTTTTTCCCGTTTTACCCCTTGCATAAGGGAAGTCGTATGTAAGCCCTAAGGGTAAGGCGTCTTTTATCTTTAAGTCCTTTTTGTACTAGGCTATTTATAGCCCTCATGTTCTTCTTCTAACGTTAATGAATGAATTATAAGAAAATTCCTGCACATGTGTTCTTTGGAGAGTTGTGAGAGTTCTAAGAGAGAGCTTTGGAGAAATCCCTATAGAGGGAAATCGGACCACCCACAACCTTGGAGACAGCCGGGTTCATGGTTCTTCTTCCTTTGCCTTTCTTTCGTTCCTTTTCCTTTCCCTTCCTCCTTCCCCATTAAGTCACCAACATCCCCATCCAATCACCAAGCTCCTAGCCGCCGGATTCCCTAACCACAATCCACCTTGTCGCCGACCAACTCCCACCACCAAACCATTCAACCCACAAACCTTAAACCAAACCCTATTCCAAACTTCCGGCCGCCACTTTGCCTTCCCCTCTCTCATCAATTGCCATTACACCTTTCCTAAATTAGTTCTACATTTTAGGTAACTCAAATAATTACAAATTCAAATCTATTTGAATTTGAAATTATTACCTAAAATATAAATCCTATTTTTGAAAAGTTTGCAAATCACTTCCTATTTGAATTTTAAATTAAATTGGGATGAGATATTTCTTACCAAATTTAATTCCTTAAATCAAGAAGGCATTAAATGCTTCCATAAACTCTCCCTTGCCCCCTATGATGCCGGCCCCTTTCCCATCTACCTTCCTTTTTTCTCCCAAGACTCCTCTAAGGAAAGAATTGGAAGCTTACCTAATTTAGATCCTCTTAAATTTGGAAAGTTTTCAAACTCCAAATTCAAATTTATTTGAATTTGAATCCTTTCCTAAATTAAGACGGATTCAATTTGGAAACTTTATTATTATCCCAAATCTAAAATTAATTAGGGTTTCCCTTTAAATCTCTTTCAAAATTTAATCACCTATGATTGGAAAGAATTCAAATCCCAATTAATTCCCTCATGCATGGCTGGCCTTCCCCTTTTTCCTCCTCTTTCCCATTAAAACCTTTTCCTAATTTGACTCCAATCAAGCTCTAATCATTTAGCCGCCCCCAACCTCTCTCCTATCCCATTAATTTTCCTAAAATTAATTCCCCAATCAATCCCGTAACTCTCCTCAGTCCTAGCTATCTTCCCCAAGCCTCCCACCTCTTGGTTTTCTTCCTTTACTGGATTTCTGAGTGCTGTCCCAGATTTCTGGGCACAATCTGCACGTTGCCTAGGAAATTCCAGATTTTCATCTTGCTGTCCATCAACTCCAGCAAAGGGAAATCAACCATTGTGCTGCCATAAACCCTCCGACTGCTGCCTGAAGCCTTCTTATTGCTGCTGTTCAAATTTTCCAAGTTATAAGATTGCTTTCCATGCTGTTATAACTGCTGTCCAGCATTCCAGAATTGGATAGTTTGCTGTTCAGAATTTTCTGGACATAGAGGTGTGCTGTCCACAGGTTCCTGCAGCCACCAACTGCTGTCCATGCTTGCAGGAAGGTTCCTAAGTGCCGTCTCCACAAAGAACGCCTGTCAAACAGCTATCCCGAATCCGGAACTTCGTTCTTACAGCTTTATTTCGAGTTTAATCTTGATAAGGGTGAACTTCTTCCCCCTTTTGATTACTTTCCTAATCCCCTAATCTTGTAGGTGATGACGATTCACAAGGAGCCGAGCTTCACCTTTGCCTAAGCTAGTAAACGTAGGGTTTTGTTTTGCCGTTGCCTAAAACCTAGTAAACGTAGGGTTGAGTGTATTTTCCATTCTTCTAATCTTATTGTTAGATTAGGAATTTTTGTTGAAAGCTATTCTATTTGCATGTCTTGATTCTCTATGTTGTTTTGATAATCCAAGTGCTTAGTGTGCAACTTAGCCTAAACAGAAGTGACCGCTCTTATATTTTATTTGATCAGTTTTATTTGCTAATAATTCTAATCTTACTTGCTCTTATCAAGGAATCGTGCAAATTCTTATTTCATTCATTTTAAGCATTTAGTTCTACATCAGCATATCAGCCTATGTTCTAAACATTGAAAGTAAAAATAAACGAAAATCAAAACACAACAGAAAGACCCTATAGTGAACTTGTATGAGAATTCATTGCTGGCCATCAAGAATGAACAAGAACCTTCACTTTTTGCTTCTAAGTTGCTCGTGCACACCTAAATCCCCCAACAACACCCCTTGTAAAAATGAAATGCGAAAAATGAATTAAGCCTCCCCTCCTATTTATAATATGAAATTCAAATCATTTGCGGCTCACAAGCCTAGGATCCCCTCTAAAATACATGGAATGTACATTTGAAGGCCCCACCAGCCTATGATCCTTTTGTCAAATGACATGGAAGGTATATTTGTTGGTCCCATCAGCCTAGGACCCTTTTGCTAAAAGACATGGAAGGTACATTTGAGGGCCCCAC